AAGGGGTTCAGCGATGTCCTTCGATGATCTAGTCTAGAAGGCGCACCCGAACCCGGCACACGATCGACCTCAAAGGCAGGCAAGACAACACCAGAAACATTCTCTTGCTTGGCTTTCACCTTAAAGGTCGCCTGTTTGGCCTGCTCTTGCACCAAATAAGATATGTCACCCGTCGCATATGTCACTTCGGCCATCGAGAACGACGCGAGTTGCATGACCTTCCCCATTTTACGTTTCGCCTGCGTTCAGGTCATTCGGTGGCAGTCAGCAATAGAAGGATCGAGCTGACTTGCCTCGTCAACCTTCCTGAGTATGGTTCTGAACCTGGTCGTCAAAGCATCGCGCTTTTTAGCCAATAGTGAGTGTCCGGTTTGCGCGCCTTTGAGCCTGAGTTTGGTGTTAGTGAGCGCCATGCGAGTGGCGAAAACATTCTCTCGTGCACCAGCGCCAGACATGGTGGGCAGTGAACAGGTATGTCACAGGCAGTAAGAGGGCCGGATTCGTGACAGGGGTTTGATCAGCATCAGCGATAGGTATATACACGCGGGGACGAAGACATCATGGGGGCATAGCTCAGTTGGGAGAGCAGTAGACTGAAGACATTCGTATTCTAAAGGTCCCGCGTTCGATCCGCGGTGCCCCCATTTTTGGCTGATATACTTGTTCTATTTCTTTTGCCCTACCAAAGACGGATTCTTTCTGGGCAGCACGAGCGAAGGGGGTACATAATACAACAAGGTTAATGGATAATTAAAGTCTCTCGATAAGTCATCTTTGAGAGATACCCCTCCGATGCCTCAGGCACCAACCAAGCAACCAATCAGCAACCCCTTCCGTTAGATGAGTCAATCTAAATATCCGACATCGTCAGTCAGCACATTACATTCCAGGTCGATCGCCCGTCGTAAAAGAGAACATGAACGATGCATTCCGGACCCCGGTGATAATGTGGAGCCTTCACCAAATCTGGTAAAGGCCCGTCTGAACGGAAAATACCCCGCCCGCTGCTGAGGATTTCCCACTTGACAACTGTCGAGGAGAGGAGGATGAGGACTAACCCCACGACCACGACTCATTCATCTGCCGTTCTTGTAGCTTTGATTGATTCTTCTCTCCTTCCTTTTTCTTTCCCCTTTCTCTGCCTGTGCCCACACGTCCCCACGACCATAATACACCACAGCAACCCACATCCACATCCACATTAATACACAATCTATCAGCTCCACACAACAGCTCGGCAGCTAAATACATGTAGATATTACCTTACTATAATTGCCTGGCCTAGTCATACACCCAACGCAGTTTCTCTGCTTACTGTGGCGTAGAAATGCAGAGTTCATCATCAATATGACAACGTGTATACAACCTGGTGATCTGGTAAAAAGAGACCTTCGACGTCAAACAAGCGAAAAAAATTCTGGAGCGACGCCAGCAGGATTCGAACCTGCGCCCTCAAAGAGGAACAGATTTCTAATCTGTCGCCGTAACCACTTGGCTATAGCGCCTCTTGCAGGAATACGATCGACTCTCCAATAATATCTAGGCCCAATGTTCGAAAGCCTTTCAGTCGCGGATCAAACAACCAAATTTAAGTTGGATCTGGCGATACGATCGAGCACCGTCTCTAATATATGATTTATACTTCTGTTCAATTTTCCACTACAGTAGATCTTCTGTACTCCAGGGCTCCAAGATGTGATTACCCACGTCAGGGTCGTGATCGGATGTTTGAATGAAAATATAACCTAGCTATGATCCTGGCACGGGGAAGCACATCTTGCAGAAAAATGTCACTAATCCTAGGTCGATTTTCGGACACCTGACTAATGACAGTATGTGCATTAAATTACGGCAGAGGCGGGGGCCAACTATATAGGGAGAACGTGGATAAAGCTCAGAAAAATAGGCAATGAAATATAAAAAGGTTAGATCGACCGGACGCGAAAAATAATCATAAAAGAATGGAGGGTACCGACGCCAGCAGGATTTGAACCTGCGCCCTCAAAGAGGAACAGAT